CCGGCAGAGGAGGCCTGCTGGTAGACTTACCTGTGACAGTAACGCAAGACATGGGGGGGAAGAAGGTGAGTGAAGCAATGCACTTGAAATGAAGCCTGAATTGCAGGGTGCTACAGGGGAGCTGGTGCTGCCTTTGACCCTTTGGTCAGGCATGGTCCATGATATGAACATGCCTTCTTTGATGTGTCCATTCCCCTAAGATAGCGGCCTGACCTGTTGTGTTGAATGCGTCTTTTTAGTTATTGTATTTGAATCTCCTACAAGGAGTGCCTCCTTATCCTTCCAGCAACACTGTTATGAGGCTAGAGGCTGTGACTTGCAAGAAGCAATCCAGTGAGCTTCATGGCTGATGGACAAGGGAAACCTTGGGTCGAATCCCCAAGTCCAACACTTTAACTTTGAAAAGTCAGAGAGGGCTTTAATTGCAACATCTTGAAATGAGCCCAGAAGGAAATTGGTCATGGCTAGACTTGCAGAAAAATATGGTGCATTCTGTTCCTGCTCCCTAACCTACCCTCTGCCAAGAGGTGGGTGTTAATCTGAGCCCTACAAGGCCTGGGAAACCATCAGCTTCAGCAAACTGTAGAGAAGCCACGATGGATTAAAATGGATGTGACCAAGATCGAAAAGCTCTGTGTTAAGTTTGTGCAGGCTGCTTGGGACAACTTGCTGACCGTAAGCATCTTGAAAAGCATCATGCCCTCAGGATAATAATACGTTGAAGAACATTAAGAAAATGACAGTGGTGTCTCAGCAAATGTGGAATCCTAACGTTATGGAAAATGGAATGTGTCAAAGTGAGTGTTTCCCTCGGACAGATTATGGTGGCAGGTGAATTTGAAAGGCATGATAAGTAGATGAACTTGATCACTTTAATCTGGAGCAGTTGCCTTGTGCAGAGTCGGGTCCATTTTCTATCTAAGCCAGGAGCAAGGGTACTTTTTCAGCCAAAAAGCCACATTCGCTCCTGACCAACCTTCCAGAGACCATATGCAGAGCTATGGACATGGGCAGAGCTAGGAACTTGGTTCTTAAAGGGTAAAGGGACCCCTGACCATTAGGTCCAGTCATGACTGACTCTGGGGTTGCGGCGCTCATCTCGCTTTATTGGCCGAGGGAGCCAGCGTACAGCTTCCGGATCATGTGGCCAGCATGACTAAGCCGCTTCTGGCGAACCAGAGCAGCGCACGGAAACGGTGTTTACCTTCCCACCAGAGTGGTACCTATTTATCTACTTGTACTTTGACGTGCTTTTGAACTGCTAGGTTGGCAGGAGCAGGGACTGAGCAACGGGCGCTCACCCCGTCATGGGGTTTCAAACCCCCGACCTTCTGATCGGCAAGTCCTAGGCTCTGTGGTTTAACCCACAGCGCTACCCGCGTCCCACAACTTGGTTCTTACAATAAGCTACATTCCATCTAAGCAAGTGTCAGGGGGTTCTATATGTGCACACAAACATCCTTCCCTCATCTGGCCAAGCAGAGTCCAAGGACCTGTTCCAACCAGGCAAAAGCCTTTGAGCAAAGCAGGGCTAGTAATGGGTGTGGAGTAAGAAGGGAGTGGCTTGGGGAATCCCAAGCACAAAAAGAGGCGCCTCCAGGGCTACATTCAGCCTCCAGGACCTGAGGGTTCCCCCACTACTGGTCTAAGCCCATGACAGTCTATCCTGCTTGAAGGTCACCTCTGCTACCTGAGACTAGGCTTTTAGCAGTGCTTTGTTGTGTTGAATTGATGAGACTCCGGCAGGTTCACGCCAACTTGATATGTGGCTTCCTTATGCCAAGACTCACCATCTGGTATTGTCTAGCTGCCTTGGCGGATTGCAGCTCAAATCCAGAGGCATTTCCTGTTTTTTTATTGATAGCATTAATATTCTCTATTTTTGTAGATTGCTTAGCACGTTGGTGGGTTGTTGTTTTCACAAACAAGCCGCGTGCCAGTTTTGTTAAATAAAAATAAAGCTATGTCAGTTTGAGATTGACTGGGAGATCCTGGGGACTGAACTGTGGGTCCCGCTCTATATGCAAAGCCCACGCACTGCCTCACTGCCACATATTAGCCCTCCCTTTATGATGAGGATAAAGGCTCTGCCAAGCAGCTGCCATTCCTCAGGTGACACCTCACCAAGTTGTGAGGACAAACTCAGCAAACTGCAAGCGAGTTGAGAGTTCCAGCACTTCTATTGTGTTCCGCTTCTGGTTTTTATTTGGAAATGCAATCTTAAAAAATACATTAAAAAGGCATTTGCACTTTGGAGCACCTGCCGATAAGCCACTTTGCCAGGTTGTCATTCCGAAACAGAAGTAACATCCCAAGGAAATCATGGTTGGGGTCAGATTGGCTAAAGTTCATGTAACCAATACATTCCAGAAGACTAGCATGTGCTTGGATTTAAAAGCATCAGAAAAGCTTCTGTGTTAGATGTAAGTGTCATCATAGTAAAGTAGACAGCTGCTTTATCGTTGGTCCATCTAGCTTGGTACTGTCTACACTGAATGACAGCAGTATTTCAGACAAGGGTCTTTCCCAGTGCTACCTGGATTTATACAGCTCTGTTCCATTTGGGCTGTTGTTGGTTTTTTTTTGTCATTTTATGATTGAAGTGGTTTCATCTGTTCCCCGCCCCCTTTAATAATAAAGGTAAAGGGACCCCTGACCATTAGGTCCAGTTGTGGCCGACTCTGGGGTTGCGGCGCTCATCTCGCTTTATTGGCCAAGGGAGCCGGCGTACAGCTTCCGGGTCATGTGGCCAGCAGGACTAAGCCGCTTCTGGCGAACCAGAGCAGTTCTGCACAGAAACGTCCAGTAGACCTACGCCGGAGCGGTACCTATTTATCTACTTGCAGTTTGATGTGCTTTCGAACTGCTAGGTTGGCAGGAGCAGGGACCGAGCAATGGGAGCTCACCCTGTCACAGGGATTCGAACCGCCAACCTTCGGATTGGCAAGCCCTAGGCTCAGTGGTTTAACCCACAGCGCCACCCGCGTCCCTTCCCCTTTAATAATATATTTTATTAATTTTCAAAAGAAAGAACATAGGCATGAACGTAAACATTATCAAAGTACTAGATTCAGGTAGGTAGCCGTGTTAGTCTGACGCAGTCGAAATATATAAAAAAATTTAAAAAATGTCCAGTAGCACCTTAGAGACCAACTAAGTTTGTTCTTGGTACAGTGGTACCTCTGGTCGCGATTCGCCGCTTCTGCGCATGATGTCATTTTGTGCGTCTGCACATGCGCGAGCGGCGAAACCCGGAAGTAACCCTTTTCGGTACTTCCGGGTCGCCGCGGGACGCAACCTGAAAAGACGTAACCTGAAGCTAACGTAACAAGAGGTATGACTGTATAAGCTTTTATGTGCATGTACACGAAAGCTTACACCAAGAACAAACTTAGTTGGTCTCTAAGGTGCTACTGGACATTTATTTTGTTTTATTTTTTATATTATCAAAGTAGTTGGGTTTTCCCCAGAACAGATGATCAGTGCATCAAGTGTTCCCATAAACCTACATGTGCTGTTGGTGGGTGCCAGCGATCAGGGTGTTCATGTTTTATGGCAGCGAAGAAATCCTGCAAATCAGTAACAGCAGGAGGTTGAAATCTGGGATCTTTTGCGTGCAATGTTACGCTCCACCATCGAGCTATGGCCTTCCTAAACTTAAGGGAAGTCTGCATTCAGATTAAATCATTCCTCACCACCACCACCCTCTTCCAATTTGAAAAACCCACCAAGGGTGAGTCTTCCCTCCCAGATTCATACCCCCGTTCCCAGGCAGTAGCGCACGCACCGCTTTTGGTGCCTCTTCGTGAGGATAAGCAGATGTTGCCTGCCTGTCTGCATGTCCCTCTCTCTCCTCAGCGGGGATGGCCAGTTGCTATTACATAAGGGGGCTTATGCAATGATCCCCTCCCCCTCCCCCCACTCCCCGCCGTCCACCTCTTTCGCTCCTCTCCTAGCGACAGCATCAGCTAAGCTCGCAGCGTCTCTGCATCCATTCAGAGGTTCAGAGCATCTCCCTCGCCTCCCTTTCTTCCTTCTCAGCTTGGGAACCGACACCTCCAACCACGCAAGCTGGGGAGGGGGCGCTCAGAGGAGGGAGAGGGTCGTCTCCTCGTTCCAGGTAAGTCGAGATTTCTTTGCAGTCCAGCAGTTCCCCCCCTCCCCCCCCAAAAAAAATCCAGGGTTGCAAAAGTTGTCAAGGAAGGGAGTAGGGAAAGCAATGCAATGGAGCATTTGAATGGGCTGATCTCCCGTTCCCCATCCCAAGCTGCAGAATGGACTCGTCCGCCTCCCTGAAGCTATGAATGAAATGTTGACAGTCCAAGAAGGGAGCGAGCTATTCCGAAGGGGGAGGGGGGTTTAACGACGGGTGCTCTCGGCTCACCTCGCGCTACGGCGAGGGAAAGGGTTTATTACGCGCGTTATTATTTAACGTTCCTCCCGTGAAAACCATCCGCGATTGGGAGAAGGGCGGCTCTCGTTCGGATTTTGAGAAGGGGTTGCTCTGTGCCCCTCCCCCTTTAGAGGAGGAAGATGGTACGGCCCGTTTCTCCCCCCCGCCCCGACTTCCACCTGGCTGCCGCGAGCGGCGATTGGCTGCGCGCTTTTTAAAGGGGCAGGCAGGGCGCGCTTTCTCCCCTCCGACCTTTCGCTTCTCCCATCCCCCGACGCGCTTTCCTCCTCACTGACCAGCCGCCCTTCTGTGTGTTTCTCTCCCCCCCCCCTTCGCCTCGCACCCGACGCCGCCCTCCCCCCTCCTCTCCCTTCCGCAGTTCCTGAGGCGGCCCGGAGGAAGCGCGTCCGAGGCGGCGGCGGCGGCGGCGAGCCCGAGGACCGGCCGAGCCCCGTCCCGGAGCAGCCGGGCGGGCGGGATGAAGAGGGGGCTCCCCCGGCCGCGGCCACGACGACGGCGGCGGCCCCACCAGCTAGGCCCCGCCGCGGCGCTGCCATGGAAACGGGCGGCGACGGCGGCCGCCGAGGGACACAAAGGCTGCCGGAGCGGCGCTTGAGGCGCGAGCGGGCCGCGCCGCTGCTGAAGGAGGGAGCCGCCGCCGCTGCTGCCGCCGCCATGGAGGTGGGAGGCGGCCCGAGCCAGGCGGCGGCTTCCCCGCCGCGCTACCGCCTGGTGGCCGAGATCGGGCGCGGCGCCTACGGCGTGGTGTACGAGGCCGTGTCGGGCCGCAGCGGAGCCCGCCTGGCCGTCAAGCGCATCCGCTGCGACGCGCCCGAGAACGTGGAGCTGGCGCTGGCCGAGTTCTGGGCCCTGACCAGCCTCCGCCGCCGACACCCCAACGTGGTGCGCTTCGAGGAGTGCGTCCTGCAGAGAGACGGCCTCGGGCAGCGCATGAGCCACGGCAACAAGCAGAGCGCCCTCTACCTCCGCCTCGTCGAGACCTCCCTCAAAGGTAGGCCGCGGGGGGGGGGAGGGGCGCCATATACCACCCAGGGGGGAGGGGGGCCACCCATGGAGGGTCTCCCCCCCAAAAAAAAACCCCCCAGCCCTCGCCCTGCATACCTCGGGAGGAAATGCCCCACCTCGGGAGTAAGGGGCCCACCCCGAGAGAGGCCCCCCCCGCCTTTGCTGGCGCTCCTCGGGAGTCGGAGGGAGGGGGTGTGCTGGGCGAGGATCCTGTGCAAAGGTAAGGAGGCTGCTGCTGCTCTGTACAGGCCCAGCACACGCGCGTGCACGCTACAGCAGGTCCGCGCGTCCCCTTCCCTCCACTTTCAGTTTGTTTTGCTTGTTCGATCTGCATGCTGCTCTGGGGAAATGATCCCCGGAGTAGTTTGCAAGTCGCTTGTGCCTTAAACTGGGGCACGGGGCCTAATGCTGCCCATGTGTTGGGTGTCTGGGAATGCCTACTTCCTGCTTGCGAGTTTTCTTCTGGGGGGGTGAGGGCAGAGGACAGGTGCCCCTTCCGCCTTGAAAGGCCTGATCCGAACAGCCAGCCTCTTATTATGTTAAGGCATCTGGTGAAAGGAGGGGTACTGGAGGTTTGGTTCAGGGCAAGACTCTATGGAAAGGGGGGAGTTTTTTCTCCCCAGGTTGAGCTACTAAACTGAGGTGTGTACGTGAGGGGAATCCTTCCTAGGGTGCCTTATGTGGAGTAATCTTGTGTGGCTACATTTAAGGGATGGGTCCTGCAAACTGCCCTTTGTATTCGTAGCAGAAGCAAAAAGGTGCGTAAATAGCGGTTGCGTGGCACATGAAACTTCTGTACAGTGGTACCTCTGGATGCGAACGGGATCCGTTCCGGAGCCCTGTTCGCATCCTGAAGCGAACGCAACTCGCATGCGCCGGTCGTGATTCTCTGCTTCTGCACATGATGTCATTTTGAGTGTCTGCGCAAGCGGCGAAACCCGGAGGCAACGCACTCCATTACTTCCGGGTCGCCGCAGAGCGCAACCCGAAAAGGCTTAACCTGAAGCGACTTCAACCCGAGGTATGACTGTATATGCATACACTTCAAGGTATTGGACCTTGTGGAGATGTTGGGGGAGGGACAGGGGAAAATCCCTGTGCAATGTTCCCTATACAGTCATACCTCGGGTTACAGCCGCTTCAGGTTGCGTTTTTTCGGGTTGCGGACCGCCGAAACCCAGTACAGGAACGGGTTACTTCCGGGTTTTGGCGGTTGCACATGCACAGGAGCACTAAATCACGCTATGCACAGAAGCGCTGAATCGCAACCCGTGCGTGCGCAGATGCGGGTTGCGAACGTGCATCCTGCACGGATCATGTTCGCAACCCGAGCGTCCGCTGTAGATGCCTGGTGTGTGCATACACCAAAGTATTGGGGCCCATGAATGGATCTTTATATGTAATAGGTACACAATTTTAAAACGAGTATAAGAAGATGGTGCTAAGCATCTTGCTTACACATCCTACAATATACTGGACCCCAGGGCCAGACCATCTGTGAGATGACTGCCTTGGGTGGCAGGATCCACCGGGGTAACAGGTCTCAATGTAATACACACACACACACACACACACACACACACTTCCTGGTGTAGATCTTGCATCACCCCTTTTATTGGACCAGCCCTGCTGGACTCCTTTGGTTATGGAAGTATAGCGCAAAGAGTCATGGGGAAAGATGGGCACATCCTCAGTGGGACACAGACAGTGTGGCTAAGTTCTACCTCCAGTAGTGCGCTGGCTGCTGTGAGAACAGTATGCTAGACTAAATTGACCACTGGCTTTTCTTATGTTCTTACCACTGAGCTGTGCCTATTCCCTGAGTACAGTGGTACCTCAGGTTACATACGCTTCAGGTTACATACGCTTCAGGTTACAGACTCCGCTAACCCAGAAATAGTGCTTCAGGTTAAGAACTTTGCTTCAGGATGAGAACAGAAATCGTGCTCCTGCGGCGCGGCAGCAGCAGGAGGCCCCATTAGCTAAAGTGGTGCTTCAGGTTAAGAACAGTTTCAGGTTAAGTATGGACCTCCGAAACGAATTAAATACTTAACCTGAGGTACCACTGTATAGGAAATTTGCATGTGGTCCTCTTAGGTCCCTTCTCCAAATCCAAGCTGACTGAATCATGTACAGAGACCTGAATCATGTACAGAGACCTTCCTCAGAGAGAGCACTGAGTAAGTAGGCCCTGCAAAGATGAGTGAATGCTTACAAAATACCAGCCCCTGAAGTGCTTTTTTATAAAAATCCTCAGAAAGTTTGCTTAACAGTTGTGTGTGTGTGTCTTTGATGGTTCTTTGCAGTTGTTGTCTTTTCTGTTCCCCCTTTTTGCCTTCCTGACTTCATAAGTTGAAGCCGCATCTCATGGTGGCTTCAGTCAGTGCAATAAAGAGCTCCTAAAGATCTCAACATGATCTCTGGGACAAGCAATTAGCTTGCAGCCCATCTGTAAATATTTTCCAACTTTGTTCAGGCCAGTCTAGTGTGTGAAAGAGTCATTTTAATGCATATATCTAACCTCTACACATGCGCACCTATCTCCTTGTCCCTCATCTCTCCTCTGATAGTAGTTCATTTCCTTTGGGATGAGCAGAGACCTCCTGGAAATAGCTTTATTTCTTTCCTCATACCCACCTCCCACCACCACCACCTCGGTCTGTATTCCTGTCCCTAGTGATCCATCTCCACACTAGTCAACCTCATATTCCGTCAGGAGTCACTGTCGCCATGCCCTTTGGAATAGCAGGCACCACAATTACGCCAAAGGCTCAGGTGGTGAGGATGATCCTCTTGGGGGGTGAGGTGCCTAATAAGGAGGGAAAGAGACCAAACAGCAACTCAGCTTTCTGTGGGACAATTCTTTAGCAGAAGGTTGCCACAGATTTTCTTTTATTATTTCTCGACATTTAGCGTAGCCTGTGTCTTTTAATAAAGGGCATTCCTTAGACCCAAATAAATCTACCGCGTGTGGAGAGTGGTGGGGGATGGGGAGAAGAGCGAGCATGTGTGTAGAGCATGTGGGTAGGCAATGTGCAGCCTTGGACCCAGCAGCATCACCCAGTCTGAGCGTGTGCTGGACTGTGTGCTCTTTGCAAGGCAAACTGTCAGTGTACAGAGCTGGCTTATTATAGCTAAGCCAAGCCCCTTCACGTGTCGGCTGGCGTGCCACAGAGCCTGCTCAGCTGCGTGCCATGCGGGAGCTCGCAAAATGTCCAAATGGGCACCACAGAAAAACGTGCAGCATCCATTTGCTGTGCGTTGGCAACCTTTTGAGTTTCTTGCTTTATTGCCTTGAACTCAGGGCTAGTCGCTCACTGTTGCCTCGTCAACACAACATGGGGGGTCACTCAACATTGGAAAGAGAAGGTGATCACTAACTTTCCAGTGTGTCTAATTAATATGGGAGAGGGGTGCTTTTCCCATAGCCGTTTAGTTATTTTTGATGAATTGACTTTCTGCTAATGTCCACTAGGCATCTTAGCAATAAAAATAATAATAATAATAAATTTTATTTATACCCCGCCCTCCCCAGCCAAGTCCGGACTCAGGGCAGCTAACACCAGGTTTGAAAACAATTGATCAAAATACAACTTAAAAACAGGATTAAAGTACAGCATTAAAATGCAGCCTCATTTCAGCAGAAACTCAAATCAAAAACTTTTTGGGGATGAAAACTTCAAATGAGGGATTTCACAGTCCAATCCTACACACATTGACTTGAAAGTAATTCTAATTGTGTTCAGCTAGGCTTTCTTTCAGGTAAGTGTGCATAAGGGTTACAGTTTCTGTGTGTGGCTGTTTATACCGTGTGGCTGTTAATTGCAAAGCACGCTCTAAACGGATGCTTATTTCTCATGGCCCATTACTAGCTATGAAATTGCTTACCGTAGTTAATACCTGAGACAGAACAACTGAAATATTAAATTGTTTAATCTCTGTTATGTTACAAAATTTTCATGTTTTTCTTTAGACTGAAAAAAACTTAAGTTTGAGGCATTAATGGAACAGAGGGAGCACCTGCGTGGCTTGTAATTTAGTGACCCCCATAAGACCTTCTGATTTTTCTTTTCTGAGTGCAGCAACAATCTCTTCAGTATCCATTTTAACACTGCCTTCCCTCTCATCCTCTTGTTCACCTCCAGCTTATAACAGGAAAGAATACTCTCTTTTTCCGCCCACTCCCCCTGTATACAATCAAATCCTTCTAGAGGCCTGTAGCCCACACCCTTTTTCATGTATTTTTTTTTTCTTTCTAAAGTTTTTCCTACTTGCTGTTGACAGGGCAGGATAGCCAAGTGGTGATATAGCCTTCAATTACCATAGCAGTAGTCATGGGAACAGACTTGTTTATGCAAATAGCCTGTGCTCCTCACTATTATGGAGGCTGTTATCAAAGACCTGGGAGCAACTTATCTCTGGTTCTGTTTGGTCATACTTGGCGTCTTCTCTTTGGAAGGTCTGTTTTGCTATCTTGCACTCTTCCCAAGGCCCTTGGCTTGCTGCAAGGTGGAGCGACAAGATGCGCGAGAGCCCAAAAGACATTTCAGTAGGAAAAGGAAAAGCAATTCAAAGCTTACATGCAGGAGTGTTATTATTTCATATATATTTATATATTGCTTAGTACTGTCTTAAGTGGTTTCCCAACATATAAACATATATGTAATACAGTCATACCTCATGTTACATCCGCTTCAGGTTGTGTGTTTTCGTCTTGCATCCCACGGCAACCCAGAAGTACTGGAATGGGTTACTTCCGGGTTTTGCCACATGCGCAGAAGCGCTAAATCGCGCCTGCGCAGACACAGCGCTTCAAGTTGTGGGCTTTTCATGTTATGGACGGGCCTCCGGAACGGATCCTGTCCGTAACACAAGGTACCACTGTAATGGAACTAAGAGGCTGTAATACCAGATGAAAGAATAGCATCTCAGAATAACAAAAACATAGTGGCGTACTTAGACTTTTAATATGTTTCCAGGGAAATGAGTCAGTAGCCTGGCAACAAAATCCCTGTACAGTGGATGGAGGATTGAAAAAAGGTATGGTCCACAAACATTTGGACCCTTCCCCTCCAACCATAACCACAGAAACAGGATCACCATCCCTCTCTCCCTCTGGCTAAGGTACATCCACCCTCACAGTGTGCAGCACTCACCCCACAAAAACATACACACACCACAGGAAAATGCACACAGGGCATAGCCTTTGTAATATGGTATCAAATGCTTTTCGTTTCAAAAGCGAAACCAGATTAGCTTGATTGAGCAATAACTTGTCTCCTGGATTTAATAAATTCCATCTGCTGATGGGCTGCGTGCTGGTGAGGACTACCTGCCTTCCCATTCAAGCAGCCAGTTCAGTCAGATGGCTCCAAGTCATTGTTTGCAATGAAACACACCCTGGCAGCCATTTCTGTGGTGCTTTTGTGGCTAGAGGCCTTGGAAGAGGGTGCCTAGGAGACAGCTGCTAGTCAGCATGGGAGAAAGTGTATTAAAATATTGCCCGCGGGATGTCAGAATATTGCTGGAGGTCTGTTCCTGTGAGATCTGAAATGTTGCACAGAAGTCAAAAGTGTGTTGATCTTTAATAGAGAGATTTCTGAAAGCATTTCTGTTCATCTATGTTCATCAAAGAGCCAGGCCATGTCCTGACCTGTTGACAGGGCCTCCAGTGATGGATTCACCACTGCACATCCAGTTTTCACAAAATAAATCGGTTTAGTTTTGTGTAGAATAGACCTCTGGGACAGTGCTAGGAAGATGTGCTATCCAATTGCACACTCCTTTCCCAGGTTCCGATTTATCTTTGTAGTCTCCCCGTCTTGCTCATGCAGTAACCCTTCTCCTTCTCCTTTCTCTTCCCCCGGCAAGGTGAGAGGATCTTGGGCTATGCTGAAGAACCTTGTTATCTCTGGTTCGTCATGGAGTACTGCGAAGGGGGAGACCTGAACCAGTACATCCTTTCCCGCAGGCCTGACCCGGCCACCAACAAGAGTTTCATGTTGCAGCTGACGAGCGCCATTGCCTTCCTTCACAAGAACCACATTGTGCACAGAGACCTGAAGCCGGACAACATCCTCATCACGGAGCAGTCGGGCGCTCCTGTCCTCAAGGTGGCAGACTTTGGGCTCAGCAAGGTGTGCGCCGGCTTGACTGCTCGAGGCAAGGACGGGGGGAACGATAACAAAAATGTGAATGTGAACAAATACTGGCTGTCTTCGGCTTGCGGCTCAGACTTCTACATGGCTCCTGAGGTCTGGGAGGGGCACTACACTGCCAAGGCGGACATCTTTGCCCTGGGCATCATCATCTGGGCAATGATCGAGAGGATAACGTTCATCGATGCCGAGACCAAGAAGGAGCTGCTGGGGACCTACATCAAGCAGGGGACTGAGATTGTGCCCGTCGGGGAGGCGCTGCTAGAAAACCCAAAGATGGAGTTGCACATCCCCCAGAAACGCAGGACTTCCATGTCCGAGGGGATCAAGCAGCTCTTGAAAGACATGTTGGCTGCTAACCCGCAGGACCGACCCGATGCCTTTGAGCTTGAATCCAGGATGGACCAGGTTACTTGTGCTGCTTAAACTCAGGTCAAAGTGTTGGTGTGCTTTGAAAACTGGGGTAAGTGCTCTGCAGTTTCTCTCTTCTCTGCACAACTTAGTGGGGCAATGAAGCCATTTTCTGTCTGTTAAGCTGCTTGGGGCTATAGAGACATTCAGTTGCCTAAGAATTTCTTCCTTTGATAGCATTTCCACCTAGTTTACCTTGGTTTTTCCCTGTAACGACCATTGAAAAGATTGTTCTGTGAACCACCCTGAGAACTCCAGGTATAGGGTGGTATATAAATTCAAGAAATAATAAATGATAATAAAACATAACCTACAGCTTTGCTCTCTAATGCTGTTCAAATGATGCAAGAGCAGTTTGTGCGTGTCTGCTCCCTTCCCTTCTACCTGAATAAGATGAGGTTGTGTGCAGTGAATGAGATTAAGGAGCAAGATAAAAGGTAAAGGCACCCCTGACCATTAGGTCCAGTCGTGGCTGACTCTGGGGTTGCGGCGCTCACCTCGCTTTATTGGCCAAGGGAGCCGGCGTACAGCTTCCGGGTCATGTGGCCAGCATGACTAAGCCGCTTCTGGCGAACCAGAGCAGCGCACGGAAACGCCGTTTACCTTCCCGCTGGAGCGGTACCTATTTATCTACTTGCACTTTTTGGTGTGCTTTCGAACTGCTAGGTTGGCAGGAGCAGGGACCGAGCAACGGGAGCTCATCCCGTCGCGGGGATTCGAACCGCCGACCTTCTGATCGGCAAGTTCTAGGCTATGTGGTTTAACCCACAGCACCACCTGCATCCCTAAGGAGCAAGATGCTGAACCACTAAAAATCAGATCCTTGTTGTTACAAGGATACCATGAACCCTGTATACAAAGGCAAGTATTTGTATGAATTTGCATACAGGTAAAAAGCATTGTTTTTGAAATAACAGCAGACATCACCTTGAAAGAGGCATTGGTCCTGTGTTCAAGAAAAGGGAGAAAGCCTCCTCCAAGATGTTGCTTGCCACCTGCAGTTTTTATAGTCATGTCAAAACCTTTTTTTAAATGCTCAATTAATCAGGAGTGTGTTTAATAGATAAACACATTTAACCAGTGCTCTAATTGGTTAAACATTGCAGCCCTAAAGGCAGCATACTTGATTGCTTCTATGAGAGCAGTGAGCTGCTGTTTATAAGAAAGGTTGGTGCACTCCCTTCCTTGCAGATACATTTCACCCAAAAATTGTGAATGCAGTGTCACTCCTGGGTCAATAACTTCAGTGGGTCCTTCCTCCTCCTTTGAGGCAGTGGGCCTGCTCTCAGCTTTTTCCTTATTGGTGATGTGAAGCAGCAGAAGAACCCCTTTGTGTTCTGAAACAAGTATGTGTTGGACCCTCAAGACACTAGTTGCCTTTGGTAGCCAGCAAAGATTTGTGCTTGCAACAAGCAGCAAAGGAAAGGTCAGAGTCTGGTTTGACATCACCCAGTGCTTTAGGCTCAGGGAAAGTGGAGTAAGGGAAGTTGCTCCTTCCCGCTCCAGCTCTGAGCTGAGGTGATGAAGAATGGAGGGGAAGGGTCACCCCTGTTTTGCGGAGTCACAGCAACACACCAAGAGCTGTGAGAAAGTCTCAGTGCTTTCCAAGCATCTCTGCAGACTATTAGGCAGAGGACCCCATTCTTCTGCAGACTCGGGGCAAGTACCGTATTTTTCACCCTATAGGACGCACTTTTCCCCCTACAAAAATGAAGGGGAAATGTGTGTACGTCCTATGGGGCGAATGCAGGCTTCTGCTGAAGCCTGGAGAGCGAGAGGGGTCGGTGCGCACCAACCCCTCTCACTCTCCAGGCTTCAGGAAGCTATCTGCAAGCCTTGGGAGCCCACGGGAGTTCCCGCCGGGCTCCCAAGGCTTGCGGACAGCAGCCTGCAGCCCGAAACCCATGGAGCGCACCCCGGGCTTCGGGCAGCTCTCCGCAAGCTTTGGGAGCCCGCGGGAGTTCCCGCCGGGCTCCCCAGGCTTGCGGATAGTAGCCTGTTCTGGGGTCGGGGGAAGCTCGGACTTCCCCCACCCCAGCCCCGCTCCTGGGGGGGATTTTTTTCTTTATTTCCCCCCCCCCCAAAAAAAACTAGGTGTGCCCTATGAGGCGGTGCACCCTATAGGGCGAAAAATACGGTATGCTGCGATTGCCAGGTTAAAAGATGCCCTCCGCAGCTTCCAATGGCAACCTGGTGACTGCAGCTGTGAGCCCATGCTTGTTGGGTTAGTGGTCCTGTGATGCTCTGGGTCCTTAAGTAATGGCTTGGGGAATCTTGCCAAACTTTGTTTTTTATCTCCGCTTCAGAATGATGGCTAAGTTTTAGAACTGCCATGTTCAGAGGCAGTGTATCCCTCTGAATAGTGTGTGCTGGGGACAGCTACAGAAGACATCTAAGTTAGCTGCTGCAGGAAATTTGATTCTGGACTAGATGGACCTTTGGTCTGATCCTGTAGGTCTCTTGTGACATGCAGCTGTTCCCAACAGGAGCAAGTGCTAATGGCCATTATTCGCTCTGTGATTTACACCTTCTATCCCATGTTCAGGTTCACTGCAGAAAAGGGACAGTAGCTTCTGAATATGAACATATGGGCAATAAAGAAAAACAGCTGAAAGCTTGTCTAGTTCAGGCATCCATTCATTAGCCGCACTTTTGAATTACTGAATTGGGCATTTTTAAGAGCAGAACTATGTGCTCCCCAGCACCTGAGAAGTAAAAATAAATAAATAATAATAATAATAATAATAATAATTTATTTATACCCCACCCATCTGGCTGGGTTTCCCCAACCACTCCAGGCGGCTTCCAACGGAATATTAAAATACAGTAGCCTATTAAACATTAAAAGCTTCCCTAAAAGTCTTCCATTCTCCTTAGTTTCTTCACCTAGAACCAATGTTCCCACCCTTCCCTCAGTACAAATTACCCATGATGCAACTGCTTCTGGAGAGTCCCTCATTAGCTTCCTTATAGAGGCTTCCTTCTCTTTTGGCTTCACCAGTAAGGAATGCAGTTGTCCTTGTTTCACTTCACCTTCGCAGGGCTGAGCGAGGGCCGTCCTGCTCTTTTTGCACAGTGCACGCACAGTACTTATAGCTGTGTCCCTCTCACGTACTTGCAGCAGGAAGGCGGAAGCCTCCTCCAGAGTAGGTGCCAGCAGCCAGTCAGCTAGCCAGTCAGAAGGGCTCAGTGACCATGCTTTTGATTCTCCGAATCCTGCCACGTGCTCCTGAATTGAAAACAGCAGAAACAGGAATCTTGTTTCCCTTCCAAGCACTGCTTGCAAAACACTTTCACATTTCAGAAATGGGAGGACCCTTGAACCATTTGCAAAGCCATATACAAACAATCTGTTACCAAGGATGTGCAGAGAACTTGGCTGAAATTATGGAAAATGGTTGTTAATTTCAGTAGGCGATCAGAATGCTGCAACAGTAGTTGAATGCTGCAGCAAGTGAAGTGATAAATTTGTCTTGGCAGGCCATTTCTTCTCCATTTTATTACAGTAGATTGGCAGAAGCCAATATTTAACTGGACTGCAAAATGCAAGTCAATATGATCTTTAGACTAAGTATGAAAAGATGACTACTTAGTAAGTAGCAGTGAGACTTTAGATAACCTGAAGGACAGAGAAAGGTGAGGCATGGTGGGAGCTCTCTCTGCCCAGGGCAGGCTTGCACAGCTAGCAGTTCATCACCATAAATTCATCCCGCCAGCCGTAAAGGGTCCACATAACCTTCTGTATGGCGACCTGCCTGAGACCTCCAAAACAAGGGATTTTTAGGGACCTAACAGACCACCATAAGTGACTCATGGGCTTTGTATGGCTTGCTGCATCGCAAGTTGTGCAGGCCTGCCTCAAGCACAAACCATTGAATTGGCTTCCTAAGAATGAATCTGTCTTCAGGTGCATCCTCTCTCTGCGCTGAAAGCGACCTCATTCATTCCTACCCAGGAAGATTATGTGAAAGGTGCTCTTGGCAGCCTTTGCCTTCCAATTTCCTTCAGCTGTCGGGGCTGTCTTGCCCTCCAGCGTACATTCCAGAAGTTACATAAAAAGTGATGTGCTGTTCTTTCCGCTCACCAGTCCGGAATGAGCTTAGATAAGAATGTTGTGTGGGGTGTTGCCTAGTGGTGCCTGTTTAGCTTCTTAAAAATCCCTGTTGAACAGTTACTGTTCTAAAATAAAACTTGTGCACAACTTTTCCATGGGTTGGCCAGGTTTGGTGTCAGGGCTGTGGCCTATATTTTGGCCCAGTTCTATCTGTGCTGAACTGTCAACAATGTCTAGGCAACACGATGACCATATACATACATAATAGACAATCTTTTATAGAATTCCTTCAAACAATAACAAGTTCAAAATGAAATCTTAGTCTCAAAGTCTCTGAAAATCTTTAAATGAAGCGAGGTACCAGACTTTGTATGATGAAAGACAAGCTGTGGAGCTTAGTGTATTCAGCAAATACAGTGTCCAACACTGAACAGAGATTCCACATATTGACTGCTGTTTCGTAGATTTTCATCAGCGTGGTGGGAGAATATAAAATTGTTTCATAAACCCATCTTATTTCGAATGGCTACATATTGCTGTTTATTTTGAATGACAATTCCACCCCCTTTGTTCACAGGTGAAATTGGTGAAATAAAGAAATGGACGGATTCGTATTAGCTGGAGTAAATAATGATTTACTTTATTTCACCAACTGGTATTACAAGATTTGGAAAAATTAGAAAAGAAGGGTCCCAAAATTAAGGACAGTTTGTCCAAGTCACAACATGATTGGCAATATGTAGCTTGCGGATAGCTGCCTGAAGCCCGGGGAGCGCAGCGGGAGTTGGCGCTGTGCTCCCCAGGCTGCGGGCTGCTATCCGCAAGCCTTCAGAGCCCGGCGGGAACTCCCGCTGCGCTCAGAAGGCTTGCGGATAGCTGCCTGAAGCCTGCATTTGCTCCATAGGACGCACACACATTTCCCCTTCATTTTTGGAGGGGAAAAGGTGCGTCCTATAGAGCGAAAAATATGGTATGCCTTTTAAGAGTTCCTAACATCCTCTTCTTAAGCAACCTTCTCCAAGTTTTCTAAGAAGTGAGCATAAAATAATTTCACTCCTTCAACCTCCATGGATAAGCACATGTTAAAATTTGTCTCAAGTTTGGATCCATAACCTAGTCTCTGATGCAATTGCAGCCGTATCTGAAACTGGTAGAATAATAGGGGCATAAGTGAATCCAATGGGCCTGACAAGGATCAAGGAACTTGCAGGCCAGTTAATGTCTGTTCTGCCTAAATTGGTAGAAAGCATTCTTAAGGATAAAAATATTACATATAGAAGAATAGGTTCTGGCAAGGAATAGCTAACAGGACTTTATGGTCTTTTCCATAGCCCAATGATACAGCGCACTGTTTGCATGGGTTGGCAGGGGGTTGGACTCGATGGCCCTTGTGGTCTCTTCCAACTCTATGATTCTATGATTCTATGATTCTATGCATGCAAAAGGTCCCAGATGAAATCTGCAACATTTCCGGATAAGAAACCTGCCTGCAACCCTGGAGAGCCACTGCCAGTCAGTGTAGACACTGTTGAGTTAGATCGGCAGTTCCCAAACTGTGGTACTGCCCCCTGGGGAGGGGCAGCATTACTTAGCATGGTAATGGAGGTGTAAATGACTATCAGGCATTGAAAAGCAGGAATCACTGGCTATCGGTTTTGTTCAATTAATTAACCTAAATAGTTTTAATTGGATTTTGAACAAATGTGCAATTAATTGTTACTGTTTTCAATTTTAATGTACTAGTATCTTCTTTAATGGGTTGTACAAACTGCTGTTCTTAATCTTTTTACAGGGTAGAGGGCATGGGTTGAGTTTATGGAAGGAGGGGGTTGGCCCCCAAATGTTTGGGAACCACAGAGCTACATAAACCCATGATCTTGATTCAGTATAAGGCAGTTTCCTCTGCTTGCAAAGAGAAAGATCTGTCTCACTAACCTTTTGAAGTTTTTTGGGAAACGGGCAGAAGGAAGTACTTCTCCACAGCACAATGTTAAACTATATCGCAAGATGTAACAAAGGGTTAGATGGCTTCTAAAGGCAATTACAGTGGTACCTCGGGTTAAGTACTTAATTCGTTCTGGAGGTCTGTTCTTAACCTGAAACTGTTCTTAACCTGAAGCAACACTTTAACTAATGGGGCCTCCTGCTGCTGCCGCGCCGCCAGAGCACTATTTCTGTTCTCATCCTGAAGCAAAGTTCTTAACCCGGGGTTCTATTTCTGGGTTAGAGGAGTCTGTAACCTGAAGCGTATGTAACCCGAGGTACCACTGTATGCTGATTCATGGAGGATAAGGCTGTCAATAGTTGCCAGCCATGATGGTTGTATACCACCTCCAAAATGATGAGTACCAGGCATTGGGAACAATAGGAGAGGCTATTGTCCCCATCTCCTATTTTGTGGGCATCTAGAGACATCAGGTTGGCTGGTATCTGGAACCTGGGCTGGGTAGGTGTTTGATCTGATGTGGATGACTTCTTCTTTTTTCTTGCTCATGGGGGTTTGAAAGGCGTGAGGGTACTGGCATCCAAGATCCTTTCTGCTTTCCCTCCTCTCTCTTCTCTCTCCCCCCCCCCCCTTTTGGGCAGCCTGTGTTTTGCCATCTGCAGTCACTCGTGCTCTGCTAACATGATGCTGCTGCTGAGTTGCGTAACCAGACTGTGCCCTCAGGGGAAATCCCTCCTGCACATTGCTTCAGAATGGTAAAATGCAAATGTAATAAGCACTGCGAGGGCACAGACCTGCCCTGTGGCTGTTTATTCTAAGGCCCAGCTGCCTCTTCCACCCACCCTGGGCCAGAGCTGGTAGCGTCTCCATCCAAAGCGCAGCTGCAGCGAAGAAGAGGCTGCCCTGTTATGTAAGGGGCAGGGACGTGCCACTCTGCATATCCCCCTTGCTCGCTTCTGAGCAAAGTGCCAGCCATGTGCTCTTAGAAATGGGTGTCGTGTTCTTTGATGGGCACTGATTTCCCGCTGCTTTCATTGGTGCTGTTGGCTTCTCATCCTGACTGAATACCTTGGAGAACAGAGGCGCAGGCAGCTGACTTATAGCGAGTCAGACCATTGGTGCATCTAAGCTCAGTTTTTGTCTACACTGACTGTCAGGATTTCAGGCAGGAATTTCTCCCAATCCTTCCTGGAGAGGCAGGAGATCGAACCAGCAATCTTCTGCTTGCAAGGCCAATGCTCTCCCACTGAGCTATGGCAGCTGAGGCCAGATTTCTGCAGGCGCTGGAGTTTGCTTGTTGCAGTGCTCTTAACGTAATCATTTAGCCTGGGCCACAAGCCTATGGAGCTGCCTTATACCAGACTATTCAGTCCATTAGCCCATTCATTCTTCCTTGTGTATGAGAGGTTTGACGGCGGGTACATGTCCAGTACCTGCCCTACTTACTGAAATATTTTTCATGGAAGATGTCTGGATTTGAACCTGGGACCTGCGTATTGGTCTTGTCCTTAATTAGTGAGCCATAGGCCCCTCCGCTCGCATGATTCATTTGCGTTCAAGGGTTGATGTGAGCTGAAAGTCACCAACCTTTGGCTCAGTCAGGGCATGCTTGTCTCTCATGCTTGTCCTGGGACAAGTAAATAATGTAAACACTCCCCACCCCCACCCCGGTCACAATTCCTCAGAGATTCACAGTGAGCTATCAGTGACCTGGAACAGGCAGCGAGGAGGAGTGATTGGAACACACCCTACAATTCCTTGTTAATGTAAAATGGGGAGGCTGTTCTAACTATGACAGAAATGGAGACTTGCTTGTTCACATGAGCTCTTGCTAAATCACAAGAGAATGATTTCAGAACTGAAGGCAAGAACTGTTGTGCCCAACCAGCAGAAGATGGAGATCTGCTGGGCTAAAACACCTCTCTGTACAGTCATACCTCGGGTTGAAGTCGCTTCAGGTTAAGCCTTTTCGGGTTGTGCTCCACAGCAACCCGGAAGTAATGGAGCACGTTACTTCCGGGTTTCGCCGCATGCGCAGATGCTCAAAATGACGTCACACGCAGAAGCGGCGAATTGCTACACGTGCAGACGCGCAGTCGTGGGTTGCGTTTGCTTCAGGATGCGAATGGGGTTCCGGAACGGATCCCGTTCGCATCCTGAGGTACCACTGTATCTGCAGTAGGGTTCTTTCCCGCAGCTCAAGCTGAAGTGGGAAACACAGAAATCTCAAAGCTTTGCATTTGCCAGAGCTACTGCTCTGTAATGCCTTTTCCCTTGCTGGTGGTGTTTGAATTCACCTAGACTGTTGCCCTCTGTTTGCTCTGCAAAAAGTTTTTTTTTCACACACAGGAGTGTTTGCCTGTCACCTGCACCCACTTGTATATTAGGCATGACTGATCCTTGGTGTGGCCTTCCTTCTCACAGGGTCAGGGCTAGTGACTAAGCCTTTTCCTTCCATTGGCAAGATCAGAACCATTAATCTTGCAAAGGCTTACATAAGACTTATTGCCATGATCTAACTTGATGGTTGTCATGTTCACTCCTGCAACCACTGAGGGGCTGTGGATGCACGCACAAACATATTGATGGAATTTAGGTAATGGGGTGTTTTTCTCCCCAGCCCACTGATTTATAAGCATAGTTTGTGTGTGTTTGCGTAATACAGCAAACATACCAGTTTTGGATTATTTCAGTATTTGGAGTTCCATAAAATTCGGAATTTCTGGCAAAGATCTGAGGTGACGAAAGAGATGAATAGGATTAGGAAGAGTCAAAACTTTAGTTTTTGTAAGGGGGCCTATGATGTTTGCAGGAGTGAGATATATTTGCAGTGACACCAAGTGCACAGCCATGTACGTAGAAACCCTCAAACGATATGTCAAAATCAGAGCTTTCGAAATGACAGCACATTCCACAGGGTCTGATAGGTCAGGCAGCATCTTAAGCCGAAAGTTACCTGCTTTCTGCTTCAGCTGATTTTGTCAAATAGGTTGCCCTGTCTGTTTAAACGTTGCTCTAATTGCAGGAGCCTCACCTGAACCCTCCTCTCTTAAGGGGCCAATTTTAACTGTATCTAAGCTCCGTTTATGAAGCACCTTTGCCAAATCCAACAAGGAAATTAGAGCCTGGGAAAATGCATTGCCAATTATCGCATACCCTTTAACCATTATTTTCTGCTTGCAGCTTCCTCCAACTAATTGGGCTTTCCACTGGAGGGTTTGTCACAAGAAACTTGGTTGCTGAGTTTGGATGCTGAAGTGAAAACTAGCCTAAACCTTACTCCCAGGTGCATTTTGTCAGCGAGGTATGAGGCAGGTTGCCTGAGTTATGAGCCCAATAATTGGCTTAATGCCTCTTTACGCTCCCAGCCAGGCTAACTTGAAGTCTGTGCAGCGGGGCAAAGCTTGTCTTGTTCTGCTAATTCAGTACAGAAAGCAACACCTGGAAGCCCTGTGCCTTTTAGAACTATTAAGCTGCAGGGCTGTTAAACAGAAAATCTGACCATGCTCCTCAGTTAATTCTCACCATTGGGAGCCAAGGGCTAAGTGACTTAGATGTGATGTCATTCATGTTATATTTAGCATTTATAAAGGGCTTTGTGTACAGAAGACTGAAAATACATTCTAGCAACCCCTACAATAGCCGTGTAAAGGAACTGACGAAATTGTGATGTTACTTTAAGAGTGAGCTGGGATGAGATTTGCATTGGGGGAAAAACTCTCCTTCACTTTTACAACCCACCAGCTCTCACTGGGGATAGACTTGTGCTGTTGAGTCTAGTTTAGGGCCAGTTTCACAGAAACACGAGATGGCTTTGAGAAGGTGCAAGAGGACACTATGGCATGTTCCCTTCAGCTTATCACTTTATGACTATGGATCAAGCTAGACACTTACATTCATGCAAATATCAATTGCACGAAATGGCTTTTTCAAAAAAAGTAAAAAAGCAAGCCCAGCAGGTGCCATCTAGATGGAAATAGGTGCTTTAACCCTTCCTGCCCCCGCTGCAGTCCTGATCCTGGTGAACTTTGGGACATACCTGCTTACTTTCAAACAACTACAAATCGCATGAATGTTGCGTGGTCCAGTTTGACATTATGACTCCTCTGCTGGTCCCAGCCTCTTTCAGTGCCTCTGTTTAGAACTGACTGTGTAATAAGATTCTTACCCAAAAGATGGTGACACAAAATGGGGAAGAAAATGCAATTCACAGGGTAGAAGAGATCAAGGCCGAGGGAGTGCAGCTGCCTGTAAGCCCAGGCCACAAGATGCTTGAGCAGATGAAACCAGAACTGAAACACTGTGTGTGCACTGGAAGAGGCCAAAATTAGCAGTTAGTTGGGGGACTGTAGCTCTTGAACCGAGCATGTAAAAGCATCATGTAATAGCCAAGTGACAGCGGTGTTGGCGCAGCTTGCGTCTCCTGCCATTTAAGGTGGAGGTGAGCTGGAACGGTGCAGACGGTTTCATTGTGTGGAGGACAGGAGATAGAGCAACTATATAGAGACTCTTGATTTTAGCCTTTGGATGAAGCGAGTGCTCTGAACTTCTTCAGTTCATTGCAGCAGTCAGCCAGCTTCCCCTCCACCGTCTGCAGTGTAGAGGAGTTGGTGTTTGGCCAGGAAATCTACAAATGCTTGCTTTCGGCACTCAAGGGAGAGAGATGCTGCCACCACCACCATTGCAACTTCGATGAAACACTATAATTACGCACAGACCTCGGAGAGCCGCAGCGGAGAAGTTACAGGATAAACTGCAGAGCAAAACACTCAGCCAGCTTTGCAAATGTGTCTGGTGACACTGGTAGAATGCTGATACACTCGGCTTGTCCCTCTAATCTCCAAGGTCCTGGGGGGATCTCGTTGCTGTTTCACTGGGACCATTGCCCAGCCCAGGTGCAGCAGTCAACACCAGGGAGGTCCTGCACTGCCTTTGGGGCCCTTGTTTTAGGGCTAAAAGGCGGTTTGCGTATATTTTAATTTAAAAAGATCTTCTTAAGGGGCAGGTGGAATCTCTGAACAAAAGTCAAGGACATCCCTGCCTTGTTAGAGGTGGAAGTGCCTCATTGGTTTCTTCTGATCAACCACAGTTGCTGCTGGCATCTTAACTGGGAGACTGTATTCCTTGAGGAAGGAGATAAGACCCCCAAAAATTGTTTAAACAAGCCTACCCAGATGTTTAAAACGTTGGTGCGTGTTTAAATCTGTTTTTAATCTATTGTTATTTTAACTTTTGGATAGGCTTAAATTATTGTTGCTAACTTTTCTCGTTGATAATTTCCATGTTTTATCTTTTTGTAAACTGCTTTGAGGATATGTTTTTACAGTGAGGCAGTGTGTACATATGATGAAATGAATCATAAAATTGATGGGCTTGGTATGCCCATTCTTCTCTGCCAAGGCTGGTTGTTTGTGGCCAAAGGAATGCAAAGGGTTTGGAGGCCAGCAAATGTAACCAGTATTTGTTTGACCAGAGTTGTCATAATTCATTTTCTTTTCTCTTTCTTGATTTCTTACCAGGGACCTACAATCTCCACGACTTACATGCATAGAGGAAAACTGAGGAGGCTCCAGGCCGATCACCGGGATCTCTGGCGACGTTAAGCATCGAGATTCTTCTTAAAAGTCACATGAGACACCTAAGAGGAGCAGGAGCTGTTGTAACCCATTTCATTATTGAGACTCTTAAAAGTTTATCAAATTTATGTTCCCCCCTTCCTCTCCCCTTGTTCCCTTTCCCCTTCCCCTCCTTTCTGCTCACTCAGCTTTGCTGACCAACTAAATCTGTGCACATACTTCTGGAGAATTCCTTTTTTACCTAAACAAAATACGGGGTTGGGATATGCAAAACATTTTTTTCTACTGCTGCTAAACACCAGAACTCTGGGTCCAAGATCTGTTTTTCTTAGTGTTTGTTTTTATCTGGAAGAGATTCAGAAGGGATGTTGGGAGACCTAGAGCTGAACGCAAGTTGTCAACTCTAGAGGTTGCTGCTGATTTGGGGAACAAAAAGCAAGGTGGAATAAACCTTTCTCCTTCTCCCTTTCCTAAAAGTGTTCTTCACCAGTGGAACTTGGCAATAAGAAGTCATGATTACAAGAATAAACTCTTTCTTTTTTTTATGTGGCCACAGGACTACAGGCAGTGCGGTGCCTGAGAAACAGCTGCAGTTTTGCATGCCAAATTTCACAGGTCAAGAACATAGTAGTATTGGGAGGGCATGAAGAGAGCCCACACATGGGCAGGTGTTTTTTCTGCCCTTGAAAAGTCCACCAATGGGTTTGGTGGCTTGCTTGGCTACTTAAATGACCGTGAGAGCCTGGACACATCAAACTGATCCCTTAACTTTGGGCTCATTTTGGCTACTTTGGCTTGGTAGATCTTGCCCATATCTGCCTTGCTGTAAAGAGAGAGTGTATTAAGCCTAGCCCAGCTTGCCCTTGAGGCTTATACATAAACCCACTCAAACTCACACTTAATACCTTCCTCTTCTGCAGTCCTCTGGTTTGAAACACTCTTAACTCTTCCAAATATCCCATTTCCTAGCTGGCATTCCAGCAATTGTTTTTTAGCTGATCTCTTCCAGCGATGAGCAGGTCTTTACACTAAACTTACCAGCTGCCGCAGAGGGAGGTTCTAATCCTGTCCATCTCTTCTTCCATCGGTCTTGATTGGCAATGGTCCTACTACTTTGGGGATGAGGCTGTTTGATCCAGGCGCTGTCCAGACCTATGGAAGTGAAGGGAGCGGCTTTGCCAAGCCAGCGCAATTCGGTTAACACTTGTTGGCAGTCCACTTGCTGGGTTGCCCTCATACCTCCACACTACTACTGAGGCTGATGGCTGTGGCCGTGGCCAGGATTTGTGAGACTCTGGAGGAGATGCTGTGCTGTTTATTCTGCGGCTCTTGGAAGGCCATGAAAGAAGTCTCTGCTTTGCCTACTGTCTTGCTCTTTGCATCCCCCTCTTTCTGGGATGTGGGCAGCCACAACCAGGGCACGGATCAACCAGATTCTTCCCTGGATGGTTATTTGTGGCTGAGAAGGCTTGCCTGCTTATTTCAAGGCCTACCATTTGCAAGTCCTGGTCTCAACTGGATTTCCTAACGCTGGGGATCAATTTGTGTTGAACTTCCTTTGCACACTACCCAGAAAAACCCTCATTTAATTAGCTGTCAAGAAATCTCGGTGTAGGCTATAGACTTTTTGCTCTTGATCTAAGCCACGACCTCTGTGTCTGTCTGTCTCTCTCTGTCTCTGTCTCTTGACCCTTCAGTGATTCCCTTAAAGTGAAAATGATTCACCTTGACTGGCCTAGAACAGGGTTGAGGAACCTTTGGCCCTCCAGAGATTGTTGCAGTTCCTATAATCCCTGACCACTGACCATGCCACTTGGGGCTAATCTACCAGTTTCCTTGCTGCCGAACTAGAAGGCTCCAGGTGATGCACAGGTCTTGCTCCTCCTAACCAGGAATATATTTCAACCAGTTAGAACAAAGCAGCTTGAAGTAGGTGAGTCAACCATAGAACAGCCAGAGTCTCATAACAGCATTTGCTTAGCAATTTATCCGCTGTTGCTGTTTCTGTTCCACACAACTGTGCTCATGGCCAGAACAGCAAGATGTGTTGATGAGGAGAAACAGTCTTTCGAGAAGGTTCACCAAGGGTTGCTTTGAGTTTGCAACTCGGCTAGCTGGCAAGTTTTGAAACCAAGAGATTCGTGAGCTCCCTAGGCTTAACCCTTTCCTATTTCTGAATGCTAGCAAGATAGGCGGTTTCCCTTCCTCTTCTCCAGAGCATCTGTGTGTAGCGGTCTTTGTCGGAGTAGATTAGTCCTTGCTTCTCACTCCTGCGCCTTTGAGGTGAGGGGCAGGGAGGAACCCACAGGAGCGGATGCATGACCCAGACTCTGGGATAAGCTCTGCAAGCAAATGCCAACCCGTAGCTCAGTTCCTCCTCGCTGCTTCTGGGACTTCAGGCACACATGCCCCTCTCGTGCTCACGCTGCAGTAAATGCTTGTGGTTTTGTGGTGGTAGCTTGACCATAGTGCCTTTATTTGGAGGGGTGTGGGCCTTGAAGGAGGCAGCATTGGGCCAAGGAAGGAGTTTCCCCCTCTCACTTGTATTTCATTGTTGCCCCCAAAATGTCGTCTCTTCCCTCTTATTCTCTGGGGCAGCTTCGTTCGGTTGCCCACGGAATACAGCTAAATCTCTTTGGAAAGACCTTAAATGTTTTTGCATTGTCCTTGTGAATCTGCAACAAACGTTTATGGGCAGGGTGGGAGATCTGCAAGATGGCATGTGAATGAGAGCAGCGTTCCTTCCTTGAAAGAGCAGGCACACACGCAAGTTTCTCTTGAGGAGACCTTCTGCCCGATGAGCTGCTCCCATTTCTGGATGCTGTCCCGTTTACGGTTGTTTGTGTGAACGCATCGATTCTTGGAGTCCCATACTGTAGCCTGGTGTTTCGTCTCCCAACTTCACTCCTATAGGGATGGGTGGCAAGAATCCTTCATCCTTGGATGAATTTGGCATGGGGATTGCCAGCTTATTCCTGAGGAATGTGAAATATCACTGAAGGTCCACGTCACAGTTGTTTTGGAGGGGTTTGACTGACATCACTTTCATGCGTCGTGTGCATGACTTTACATTAAAACTGTTTACATCCATGTCGTTCGAAGCTGGCAGTGTGGGCTCAGACCTGCCAGACATTGTCTTGTATGGGTGCGGCAAGCGGCAGCAGAGGACCTGAGGGGTGAATTTCACAACTGGCTTCCAAAGTCCCTGACCACTACAACCACCATCTCCATTTCCTTTGACTCCTCCTTGTGTGTTGCAGGCATAGCAGACCCAGCCACAAAATTAGCAGCATTGCTTGTTTTAGTAATCTCTTTTGCAAGCACAGAGTGGGTGCTGTCACCTTCTGTACCAGAGTGGACCGCTGCGAAGTTGAGAGGAAGGATGAGGACAGGGTGACTCCTAACCTCACCACAGGGTACAACTGTCCCAGGGGCTACTGCTGAGCAGTTTGTTGCAGCACTCCTGAGACTTAGGACTGACACCTTCTTGCAGGATATTTTGAACGTCCTTTTCAGGGACAGCACCGTTGGTAGAACCAGGGCATGAAATATGGGGCCATAATGGCACTGTCCCATCAAAAAGTCTCCTCCTGTGCTGCTCATGTCATTCTCCTGCATAAAGCCCCTGGGCAAGCAGGCCGTGATGGTCCTCACCAGCCTTTCGTGGTTTGGTTGGATGACAATCCTTAGGGAAGATTTGGCCAGTGATATTTGATGTCCCGGGCACTTCCATGCTTCCAGTGCTGCTCCTTGAGAATTAAATGCCGCAGGAAACCCACCAGTTTCTCTTAAGCTAATGTGGCTGTTCTCCTGGCAATGTTGATCCCTTTGCTACTCCTCCAGTATCTCCCTGAACCTTGTTTTCCTTCCATGGCAGAGGTCAAGGGGAATCAGTATACTTAAGGGGCCCCTCTTTCTCCTCCTCCTTCTGCTGCTGCTGTTTTTAGGATTGAGGTGCTAATAATGGGTGGCAATTGTCTTCCTTTTCCCCTGATGCTTTGGTTCCCTCAGGATCCCACTCAGACATCTCCAAACACTGTCAGAGTAGAGCAATAAACATCCCCCACTCCTGGTGGGAGAGAGAACGCGGTCTCTGTGAATTCCTTGTCTTTCTCCCCCCCTCTCCATATATGCATTTGTCTAGTCCGGATTTAACCTTGCTGGGTGTCACTGTAGCACAGCTTACAGTTTAAGCCAAGGGGTATTTTTTACCTGGGCTGCGCCTGGCTTCCCCTTTCAACAAAAACACATCTCTGAAGCAAACGCACCTAAGGAACAGGATTGCTCTTCTATTTAAACAGACTTGCACCCCTTCTATCAGAGGTTGTATGTGCAAGGGCAGAGGCACAGTGAGGGACTTAAATCCCCTCTCTCAAAAATAGACCTCTACCATCCACCATTGGCTTGGGGCAGAGGCTGTTGGACCTCCCTCTTGTGACATATGTCACTGTCTGTCGTTTCCCCAATCTCAGTGTTTCTCAAACCTTGGGTCTCCGGCTGTTGTTGGACTACAAATCCCATCATCCCTGACCACTGGTCCTGCTAGCTTGGGGTGATGAGAGTTGTAGTGCCAACAACAGCCGGAGACCAAAGTTTGAGAAACGCTTTCCTATTTACTTGAGTCCAAGGTACCTAACTGAGGGTGGGTGACCAGTTACCTTGGAAGCTGCTTTCTGGGTGCCCAGTGCCATGTGTCCACTCAGCTTGGACCGCTTCCTCGCATGAGTCTCTATCCATGAGTCTCTATCCCCCAACGCAAGCAGCAGCTTTCCACTGACCAGAATGAAGTGTCTGTTGCAGAAAGCTGCCCAGAGCTACTATCTGGGTTGCTTCTCTGCCAGGCGTTTTTAAGTCATGGGACGCCAGTGCTTGATCGGCAAGATGGAAAAGCCACCTCAGCCCTCCTTTCTTGGGTGTGTTTCTCTGCTGTAGAGCTTTCCTAGTTGCAAGGAAGCCAAGTCGAAGGAGAAAGCGGGATGCATGCATCAAAGTCACAGCTTCTCGCTCAGGTGGTCACTCTGCGTTTAGCTGTACCGTTTAAGAGTGTAGGTGAGGTCTCGTATATGGAAGTCACTTGTTTTCTTAAAAAACACCACATAGGAAACTGGCATGTCATGGACAAGAAGATCTAGCCGCCTCTCTGCCCTACACCAAGTTTTCTGAGCAGAGGGCTGGAGGAGCACTCCATTATGCACCACCACCACCCCCCAAAACACATCCACACACACTTGCAGTCTGAAATGACACAGCAAAGGTAGCCCACCTTGGTCTGAACTGGCCGTAGTCCAGCCTTCCCTCCCCCTGCCTCCAACCTCATCCCTTTCTCTCTCCCATTTTTTTCCGTTTGGTCCAGTTGCGAGTTTGGCCCACCTTAAGCTTGACTGGACATGGTGTCTTCTTAAACCTGGAAAACCTGCACACACAAGGGAAAGGCTTAAACCCAGACTCCAAAACACAGTTTCCAGTTTTGCAATTTCTCATTTTTCTTTGCACAGAAGCTGGTAACCTAGGACCTGTGTGCGTGCGCGCGCGTGTGTGTGAACAACTTTATATGTTGTTGGTTGTTGTTTTTTTTTAAGCTATTTGGTTTACTTGGGTTGGTGTGCGACCTTGTATTTAAGTTTCTTGAACACTGTGGAAACCCTGATTGTGTATGAATGGCAGCAGTTTTGTAAATTAAAGAAACGTTTGTGTGAATAAACGTAGAGGATGGGGTTGAAAAGCCATACCCAGTTTTGAGATGAAGTGTCTTTGTCTTTGTGTTCATTATTCCTTTGGCAGCTGTGTTTGGTAGGCGGGGATCCAGCCATGAGCACTGGGGCATGGGGTACCACAACACCCCCCCCTTTTTAAAAAAAAACTTGACCACCAGCAGCTGTGGAAGGGCTTGGATTAACTTCTCCTGGTGACAAGCTTCCAGAAGATGAAAAGCTGCACGTGTGATGCAGCAGCAAAAAAAGCTGATGCTATTCTAGACTTCATCGACAGAAGATTAGTATCCAGGTCAAGGGAAGTATTAGGTCCAGTCATGGCCGACTCTGGGGTTGCGGCGGTCATCTCCCTTTACTGGCCGAGGGAGCCGGTGTACAGCTTCCGGGTCATGTGGCCAGCATGACTAAGCCGCTTCCGGCGAACAGAGCAGCGCACGGAAACGCCGTTTACCTTCCCGCCGGAGCGGTACCTATTTATCTACTTGCACTTTGACGTGCTTTTGAACTGCTAGGTGGGCAGGAGCAGGGACCGAGCAACGGGAGCTCACCCTGTCGCGGGGATTCGAACCACCGACCTTCTGATCGGCAAGTCCTAGACTCTGTGGTTTAACCCACAGCGCCACCCATGTCCCTTACCTAGGCAGGGAGGTACACACAAATTGTGTTGCTCTGCATGTCTCTACAAAGGGTTGGGGTGGAATTTGGTCAATGGGGGGAGAATGGAAGAAAGGGTGGGCATAGGGATTTGGAGAACGGAGAGATCTCAAAAGGCAAGTAAGAGCCAGGAAAAGAGGTGTGGCGAGGGTTTAAGAACAGACTGTGTGATGCAGCAAATGGAGCTACAGAACCCACCACAATTAGCGAGCTAAAAATGGCTTCATGCACTGTGGGAAATGAACCAAGTGAAAGGAGTTACCCAGTGTTGCCTTCAGGCCCTCCCTTGTCTAGTCTCCATTGGAAACAGGATGTTGGGTTCTTACAGCTGATCCAATAATTACATTCTTGTTATGCTAACTTTTAAATAGCAGTGGCAGGTTGCAGCAAGGCTTTGGGGATTGTCTAGCTTTTCCTTTGCGGAAAGAATCAATTAGGCCAGGACTATAACAGGCTGAGCAGCAGCATCTGATCCGAATCGGGGGCATGAACCTCTTGAGGGAAAGGCATAGGGTTGGGGCTCTCCTGAGCTGCTTCAGCAAGTTGCTGCCTAATTCGTTTTGCCCTGGTACGATGCCGCTTTCACTTGCTGCATGCCACCGTAAAAGCAAAAACCTCCATCCATCTGAATCTATTTCAAGACGAACCCCTCCCGCTGGCATTTCTCAGAATTAGAGAGTTGGAGGGGACTGCCTAAGGTCATCTAATCCAGCCCCCTGCAATGCAGGAATCCCAACTGAAGCATCCCTGACAGATGGCCCTCCAACGTCGGCTTAAAAATATCCAAGGAAGGAGAGTTCTCCATTTTAGGGGAGTATTGATGCTCCCAGTTTGCCTTGGTTGGCTCTATCCTGGCCTCTGTTATAAGAGACTTTGACACGTTATACATCTTCTGGGGTGTTGTGAAGTGTAACCCCACAAACTTGCAATCGGAACACCTCTGTTTGCATACCACATTTCAGCTTTCTGTTCTCTTAGCCGTGGCGATAATCTACAGTGACTTGAAGAGATGCAAGGTGCTGTACAAAGGTTTAGAAATATCGTGTTGCTCTGCTGAACTTTTCTCTGTCCCCAACCACCACTGACATTTGGCCCTCAGGAGGCTAGCCAGAAGCAAATGTGGCCCTCCAGCTACAGAAGTCCCTCCCCCCACATTGCCCTACACAGACAAGTACTTTCTGATGAGCTGGGGGCAAAAGCGTCCCTACCTGGGGTCCTCTCCTAAGGTCCTTTGTCTTCTGCATTTTTGATGTCAAAGTGGTTGGTTGCACAAATACACCCTCCAAGTATACAGTGAAACCAAATGCCTCTTATCAACTCCCTTGGGTATAATCAAAAGCCACATTAGAAAAAAGGTAATTGTCCTTTTATGCCTTTAGTAGGAAAAAAAAAATCAGATACTCCCAGTTTGGCCAGACAGTACCATAGTTCCTCCAGCTGCTTGGCTTCCAGCACTCCACCCTGTCTCGAGTTGACAAGAGGTTAGTTTAAACTCCTGCCATAACAACCACTCAAATTCTCTCTCTCTCTCTCTCTCTCTCTCTCTCTCGTATAATTTGGATGAAGTTTTCCTAGTTGCTCACAGCTTAGTTGGCAGAGCAGAACATGCCGGGATGGTGTATGTGTAAAACATGGTTCCTTGAATCAGCCAGGTTTTTTTTAAAGGAGGAGAGCTGTTTTATTTGTTACAGACACTTGTATACCACCTTTCTCCACGGAGCTCAAGGTGGTATACCTGGTTGTCCTCCGCACAACAGCCCTGTGAGGCAGGTTAGGCTGAGAGATGGTGATTGGCCCAAGGTCACCCAGGGAGCTTCATGGCTAAGTGGGTGTTCAAACCCTGGTCTCTAACACTCTGACCACTGCAACACACTGGCTGTCTTTCAAGGTGTACCTCAGAGCATCCATCAATTCTTGGCACACTTATTGTTCACTCAAGGGGTAGATGGATTCCAACAAGAAATTAAAGACCACCCAGAAATTAAAGTTTCCCTCCTGCTTCCTGGACGGTGCCAACCAACCCTGGCAACTTCAGGTCAGACCTGCAGGTCCGGCAACCCAGGAAAGTAACACGAATCACAACACTTTCATGCGTCGGTAATGTTCACCAATACGCAAGCGCATCACAGCAATATGCATGCTGCAGAAGGGACTCGTCCAGGCTGCAGCTCCCATTGCGTGGCAAAGCTGCGCTTGCTTCCACATCACGTGTGAGCCAGCCCTGCACGATCAGGGTCTCAGGACGTGCAGAGGGGCAGGCCATGGTGCTTCCCAGAGGGGCCTGCGCCTCGCAAATCGGCGTTCGGAGTGGCAAACGGCAGCAGCTCAGGAGAGCGCTGCGTGACGCAGACTTCCAGGGAGTTACATAACTGGCAGCACAGCTGGCAGCTCAAGCCGCCTTACGTAATCGGCCCAAGCCGCACATCCCTGGGAACGTGGCCGGTTTGTTTTGGCCGTGCTATGTGGGCGGGCCTTTGTCTCCCATCCCACCCCAGCCGGGCGCTGGAATCGACTAAACGCGCCGAAGGCAGCAGCCTCCAGCTCCCACGGACAACCTCGTCAGCATTGTGTCCCTTAATGGTTTCTGACAACAACCTGAAATGGATTGATTCGGCCCGACTCGGTTTGAATGCTGCCTGTCAATCCCAGCTAGCTGCCCAGCGAGACAAGGCCCTGGCGTGGCTCCAAGCCTGAGCCACAGGAGACTTCGCTCGCCTCCCCAGGGCCTCTGATTTCCACCAAGTCAAACTGGCCGGGGGCTGGGATCATTCAGTGCCTTGGAAGACTGCTGTTTATCTGCTCCACTCAACTTTTATCACAAGGGGAGTCTGCTGAATCCAGCCAATGGCCCGTCTAGTCCAGTATCCTGTTCTCACAGGGTCCAACCATATACGATACAATACTCTTTATTGTCATTGTCCCATACAGAACAACAAAATTGAAAAAAATCTACATAAGACATTAAAAAACCAACAAGCCTCCTATCCCAGCTATCCCAACCTGGTTAGCCACCAAAAAACTATTGATACCCCATTTTTAAGTACAATATGCTCCCATAGAGACTCCTTAAAGGTAAAAGGACCCCTGACCATTAGGCCCAGTCGTAGCCGACTCTGGGGTTGTGGCGCTTATCTCGCTTTATTGGCCGAGGGAGCCGGCGTACAGCTTCCGGGTCATGTGACCAGCATGACTAAGCCGCTTCTGGCGAACCAGAGCAGCGCATGGAAACATTGTTTACCTTACCGCCGGAGTGGTACCTATTTCTCTACTTGCACTTTGAGGTGCTTTCGAACTGCTAGGTTGGCAGGAGCAGGGACCGAGCAATGGGAGCTCATCCCGTCGCGGGGATTTGAACCGCCGACCTTCTGATCGGCAAGTCCTAGGCTCTGTGGTTTAACCCACAGAGCACCCAGGGCCCTAGAGACTCCTTATACTGCGTTTAAAACCAAAATCGCATTTGGGTAGAAACTGTTTCTCAGGCGGCTAGTCCTAGTCTTGATAACCCAGGACCTTCTTCCAGAAGGCAGAAGCTGAAAGAGATCATTTCCAGGGTGCGCACTATCCTGCGCTATCTCTGCAGCTTTCTTATGGCACCTGGAAGCGTAGATTTGATCCAAGGTAGAGAGAGTGCACCCAATTATTCTCTCCGCGGTCTTTGCAACCCTGGACAGCATTGTTTTTTCCCTGACCGTGCAGTCCCCAAACCACACACACAGACCATAAGTTAATACACTCTCCACAGTACAATGGTAAAATGCCATCCACAGGTCCTTTGAGAGATTTTTTTTTTTTCCGGAGGATTCTCAGAAAATATAACCTCTGCTGTGCTCTCTTCATCAGGTCTTTGCTGTTTTCTCCCCAGTTTAGGTCATCTCTCAACTCCATTCCCAGAAATCAAAACACCGAGACCTGTTCCACGCACTTCCCCTCAATAATAAGTGCTGAATATTCAATTTACATTCCCTAAAGTCCACCCTAATCTCTCTTGTTTTCTTTAAGTTAAGGAGTAAGTTGTTTTTCCTGCACCACTCCACCAACTGCTCAACTTCCTTCCTATAGGCTGCCACCCCCTCTCCAGCCGTGATTAAACCAACCACCGTTGTATCACCTGCAAACCTCCTTGAGGTTCCTCCCTTACATTCTGCCATAATTTCTAAGATGAGGTGCCCCTGCTCCATGTCACCACCTATGATAAGGCCTCACCTCCACAAGAGCCGCTTCCAGGCCAGCTTTGCTCCTTTTCTTCTTGAACAACAAATGAACAAGGGGTTGAAGCGACAGGGTCAAGGTGCTCCAACCTGCAGCCTGTGCATGAGTCCTCCTTTCGCGGCTCATAGCAACATCCCAGAAAAAAAGATGCCTTGTTAACGGAAGCGCTTA